AATTTGTAGCACAACACTTCAATAATAGCAAGATCAGTTTTATTTATGACACTTGTTTTCTTCACTAACACAAGGTGAGTTTTTTCAGGATAAGAATTATAGATTATTTATGATTGGAATCCGGGGCGAGTCCGTGACGCGGCGCCTGGGCACTGGGAATTTCCGGATCCCACCGCTGCCACCAATTTGTTACGCAAATAATCGCGAATGGTTTTTTGAAAAAAAATATATTTTAATTTACACTTAAACTTTATTTTAAGAACAATAGAAATATATAGATTTATCGGATAAAGACGTTAAAACGATCTTTAGGCAACCGCACTGAATGGAGGATGGACACGAACTGTCGGATACTAACCGAGGAGACTAGGGCTTGAGTTCTATAGTGCTGACCAGACATAATGGTCAGTAGGAGCAGCAATATACCTAACATATATCAGATATAACAGTTCCTACCTGGTGTCCCACAACACCACATCACTTTTTTTATTTAAAGAACAATAATGGCATTCGAACAAAAAGAATTCCTTTTAATTGATGAGGTGAATAAAAAATCTTCTTTATTCGCACTATTTTTAATATTTCGTCAATTTAGTGAACAATTCACCAGTATAGCGTCGATCCATGATGTCATTAGCACTGGCCAGTATACTGGTATATATTACGGAATACACCCAAAGGCTGCCTGACTGCCTGTCGCGCGGATTGTTTTGAAAGGTCGCCATTTTGGTAAGCTGCCGATGCTGCACGTGCACTTTTAATGTTGAAAAATTTATGGCTTTTATTGAATAATACTGAACTGGAAAAATATTTAAGATGGTGAAATGCAGTGCCTATTTGTGTGAAAATACGACGTACGGAAATATACCTGGATTAACATTTCACCGGTGAGTAAACATTATAGGTTACGAAACAAACTATGAATTGTCTAAATTGTGATGATTTAAACATTGTTGTATTTTCTACTTGTACTTACTTATAAGCTTTATCAATAGAAAGCATGACGTTTCATAGTGGTTTCATACAAATATAAAAAATGAGCCATGTATGCTATAAATTCAGAAACAAATTATTAAACAGAGAATTCTTTTGACATCTTAAGTACTTGTGATTGTCGTAGGGGCCAAACTCAGGCACTTGTACGTAACTATACTCATTTTTATTGAGTTCCTTGTGATTTCAAGATTAAATTGAAGCCAAGTTTTGCATTAGCTAACATAAAAATAAGTTTGGCACGCAGTGACTCGGCACTTAATAAGTTTGGAATTATATATTTAAATAATGATATTAACTTCTTATTGAGTATTTCAGTCAATATTACAGATAGATTTAATTAATTAGCTTGCTATATTCAGATTCAACCTTAGACCAGAGGAGTTAGATATGTTTACATGTACTGAGAGGATTTACTATAATGGCTATATGTGTTAATTTTTATTAATTAAAAGGTGTGATAAGGAAAACTGTACATAGAAACTGAAACTGTCACATCTCACTTTATGATAGAATTACAGGACATTTTGTCATACTTTTATTGTTCTTTTAGAAAGTGATTTAATGTTATTCAATATTTGTTGTAGATTTCCAAAGGACCAGACTTTGTGTGACATTTGGGTTGCAAACATGCAGATAAAAAATTGGAAACCCAGCAAAACATGTGTTTTATGTTCCCAACATTTTGAGGAACATTTCATAGACAAAAGTCCTTTTCGAACCCGTCTACGTCCTGGTGCTGTACCAACATTATTTGAAAATTTACCAGAATTATCTGAAGTGCGTAAAATATACTGCCATACTTGTAGACCTGTCTGTTGGAGTTGTAGGAGGTTTGGTTTTTTGTAGATAAATGTTTTTGCTGGGTTTAAGTGCATTAAAGTACTTAACCTTTTAGGCAAATACCTAACTCTCTAATGATTGCGAGCTCAAAGTAGCCTAAATAATTTTTTATATATTATATTATTGTCCGCAATGCCAATTGATTCCGGACATAAGTTAGTTATATAGTTTTCTGTGTAAGACTGATTGGAGATATAATAATAATTTAATATATATAATAACTTTACAAACTGTTAAATGTCCATTCCCATAAAGTTTTAAATAGTTTACTAGAAAAAAAATCCACGCGGCCCAGGCAACGGACGGGACTCGAACCCGCACCCTTCGCAATCCGGGCGAATGCACTGACCATTATGCTACCACGGCCCTATTGACCGTGTCGAAATTTTCCTAGCCTTAAGCTGCAAGGCAGCGCCATCTCTTCGCATTGTAGGTAACCCACAATGTCAAATGAATACTTTTTCAAGTATTAAACATTTGAAAGAAAAAGTAGCAATTAAAGTTATATTTTTATTTATTATTATATTTATTAGCCTTAAGCTGCAAGGCAGCGGCATCTCTTCGCATTGTAAGGCTAAGAAAATTTCGACGCGGTCAATAGGGCCGTGGTAGCATAATGGCCAGTGCATTCGCTCGAATTGCGAAGGGTGCGGGTTCGAGTCCTGTCCGCTGCCTGGTCCACGTGGATTTTTTTTTCTAGTAAACTTTTCTTTAGATTTAAATTAAGAAACCCAGCAAAACATGTGTTTTATGTTCCCAACATTTTGAGGAACATTTCATAGACAAAAGTCCAAAACTTTTCTTTAGATTTAAACATCTAGCAGTTAAATGTTTAAAAATAAATAAAAACATAAATGTAATTATGTTAAAGATTTGAATATGGGAATATTTTGTCTCTTATCGAAGAGTGATTATTATTTGCAACCGTAGCAAAGCTACGCTCCCAGGCCTATCCCTTCAGGATAGAGCACCACAGTACATTCAATAGTTGGCGTGCAAAATTCTTTTTTTATTATTTTGTATGTTGTTATGTCTTAGCGTACAAAAACTGTATGCATTTTCATGAGGTTTTCACAGTTTAGATGCTTGAGTTCCAACTTAAATTCGAGGCCATTCATCTTATTCAGGTGGGTAGAACCGGAAATACAGCTTGACCTTTTCGTAGTTCTAGTCTTCTTAAAAAAAGAAAGTTATTTAAAATGGAGTCGTATTGAAGAGTCCTGGGCGAAGACGAGTTATACCTACATATAAACCTTTCGAAAGAAATTCTCTAGTATGAATGGTACAATCGTATCAAAATCCTTTGCACGGTTTAGAAGAAGTTAAAGTAGAAACAGACAAAATTTTGCTTTTGAACGCACAAACGTGCATGCCATAAAAAAGAAAGAAGAAGAAGTCACTAAGGTTGCTTTCCAATTACAGAGCATAATGCGACTCAGTGCCCCACAATGCCGAATTATGCTGATGCTTAATTGGAACGTGAATTAGTTTTCAAATGCACCAGCAGAGTGCGCTAAGTTCAGTGTTGAAAAAAAAAGTCAATGTTTGTACCTTCAATTATACTTATATTTATTTTTTAACAGATTGAATGAACTTTGATTATTTAAAAAAAATGGATGCGTGTAACTTATGTACGCGCGTGAGAAGTTATACTTCTTTAGCATCATTAAAAATATTTTTTAATTGCATGCAAATAATTAATAATTACAATAAAATAATAAAAGGACTGGAAAAGGATAGTTAACACAGTCAATTAAGGTCAGTTTTAATTTGAAAAATTAAATAAATATTCAAAATATTCAATTAAAATCACTACTGAATTTAAGTTATTAGTCCATATGTAATTAGCACTTGTAAGTAACTAAAACACGTTGTGTCTATATAGAAACTAGAAACATGTGGATAAATTTTATAAATATGAAAACAGTGATCAGAGGCGACGAGCGTGCCAACATTGTTTTTGACAACGCGATCATCTTATGGAGCTCCGTGGATCGTTCAAAGTACCTTTCGAACAGATGTCTAATAATGGTGGATTATTAACCACTAAGTGGTTAATAATCCACCATTATTAGACACTAACATTCATAACGCGCCCGCGGCCAACTTCATGGTGTTACTATTGTGTTACAGTGATGCGCGCGCATCTCGAAATTTCACTCACATGATTTTTTCATAACGCGTCCGCGGCCAACTTCATGCTGTTACTTTTGGGTTACAGTGATGCGCGCGCATCTAAAAATTTCACTCATCATTTTTTCATAACGCGCCTAAAGAAGTATAACTTCAAAGAACTATTTAATGAAACGAAAGCTTTAATAATTTTTCAACAATAAATAATATTACTAACGATAACATATAAATAAAACATTTCGATCAATGCCAACTTAAAGAAAAAACACTTGTTAATTTTCTGTCTCTAAGTTGGTACGATTGCACGCATCACACGAAAGCATCACTTTTGAGAATTGAGGTTGCTTTCAAATTACAGAGCATAATGCGACTCAGTGCCGCACAATGCCGAATTATGCTGATGCTTAATTGGAACGTGAATTAGTTTTCAAATGCACCAGCAGAGTGCGCTAAGTTCAGTGTTGAAAAAAAAAGTCAATGTTTGTACCTTCATCCATATTTATATTTAATTTTTAACACAGTTTGAATTAACTTTGATTATTAAAAAGAAAACTATGATGAAACGAAAGTTTTAATAATTTTTCAACAATAAATAATAATAGTAACGATAACATATAAATAAAACATTTCGATCAATGCCAACTTAAAGAAAAAACACTTGTTAATTTTCTGTCTCTGAGTTGGTACGATTGCACGCATCACACGAAAGCATTACTTTTGAGAGTGCTCAATTGTGCGAAGCGATGCTGTAGTTGGAACACTCAACGTTAAGCATTATGCCGCATAATGCGCTATAATGCTGTAATTGGAAAGCTACCTGAGAGTGCTCAATTGTGCGAAGTGTTTTGCTGTAGTTGGAACACTCAACTTTAAGCATTATGCCGCATAATGCGCTATAATGCTGTAATTGGAAAGCAACCTAATTTCACTATTATATCTCATTGAACTAGGAGACTAACTCCGTCCCTGTAATTTTGCGTTAGTGTGTGTGGTATTCGGATGTGTTAAGGGCCTTATTCATTATCCATCTTGTTGGATCCAGCATGCGGGACAGCGATATACACGTAAAAGAGATCCTGTATCTCCATCTCTTTTACGTGTAGAGCGCTGTCCCCGCATGCTGGATCCAGCAAGATGGATAATGAATAAGGTCCTTTAGGTTTGCCGTGCTTTTCAATCTCTAATGTTTGGTCTGTAGCAATGAAATATAAAACCAAGTTATATTTATGAATCAAAACATGATCTTTTATCCTTTTTGTACTCAGCTACAACTCGTTAGTGGCATCTCTTTCTTCCATCTATTGCAATACTGACTCACACATCAACAGATGTCAACGCGTGTTATTTTTATTGCTCGCCGCCATTTTATTTATGACTTATCGGACATGCGACTTTTCGGTGTATAATAAGAATATTGCTTTCCTGAAACAATATTACAAGACGGGATTATTCAATTACTATGGTCAAGTGCAGTGCGTATCGATGTGCCAGTGCTACCTACAATAGAACACCAGGATTAACGTTTCATCAGTAAGTTTTTATGTGTCTTTGTTGTGTACTGAAATGTCTGAGTCTTTTCGAAGCTTATTTAAATATTATCGTAACATGTAACATTGTTTACATAGGATTATTTATTATTAATACTATCGGTGTAAATTAATCAGGATAGATCATGATAGGAAATTCCAATTCTGACAACTGAAGAACTGTTGACAGAGGACGGACTCGGTATCAAAGGCAAAAAGTTACTCAGCATTAATTTTGTTTGCATTGCATTGTATTTTGATTGTGAAAGCAATCAAGAACTTAATTAGATACCTAGGTACCTATTACATACCAGCTATTCATATTTCTTGGAACATTGGCATCGGCAGGTATTGAACGCAAATAACCACATAAACAGTTTTGTTCTAGGTTTCCAAAGGATGAAAGTACTCGGAATGCATGGTTAAAAAATATGAAACGTCAGGATTGGCAACCAAATTCTTATAGTGTGCTATGTTCAAAGCATTTTGAGAATCACTTGTTTGATGCTGGTAGTTCCCGCTCTAGACTGCGTTCTAGAGCAATTCCTACTCTGTTTGGCGAATTGCCCTTAGCTACAGAAGTGAGTATAACTAGTGCATAATATTTTAAGTACAACATAGTAGTCTATGTATACTATATATATGAGGTTTTATTTTGTAGAGCTGCGGAAATAGGCCACCGTACTACTAAGACTAAAAGGGTCTATTGTACAATGTATTTATATTGTATTGTATTAATATTATACAATATTTTAATTTATGGTTATGTCATATTTTTTTTTTCAAATAGTCTAGTAAAAGGCTCAGCTTTCCATTAGCTGTGGTTGAGTAACGAGCTGATTTTTTTGTCACGCAAAGTATTAATTATTAGAAACATGTACACGAAATCTTTTTGGAGTTTACTCCTTAAGAATCGATTTGCATATATATGGGGCCCGGTATGAGAAAAATGTGAGGAGTAAAATCTATCGATGAATGACCTCCTTATGTTTTTGATGCGCATCCTATGTCGCACAACTTTGACAAACAAAGATGACGGATTGACATTATTCAAATTTTTAAAATTTGAACTGAATTTAGATATTGTTTCTGATAGAGCAATGGGGACAATGAGGTATGGTAGAACCATTGATGCGGTATTTTCAAGATTCGTGAACCACGTATCTACGAAGGTCCATGTGTCTTATTTTAGTTACCATAAACCACTTGTCACTGTAATTAATAATGCAGACAATGTTGATTTAATTAATATTTAAAAAAATGATAATAGTCTGATAATAATAATTACATAATTTATCAACGTTCCTAATGATATTTCTAAAAGTTTAATATAAATATTTCGTCGAATAGTTATAATAAATGTATATGAAATGAATAAATATATTTATATATGTATATTAATGTGGTAATTTACCCTTTCGTATAGTATCTTATTTAAGTTAAATAAACTCTTTTTGCTTCTGGTTAGACTATCGAACTTAAGGAGTAAACTCCAGTCGTGCGTCAGAGCTGACACACACAATTTTTTATATTTAGCAGAAAAGTATAGAACTCGAGAAAAAAAATATTGAAAATTAATATTTTTGTATGTTAAAGTCAATTTTGACAGACATTTTTATCAGTACTGATATTTTTTTATGCAAAAATAACATGTTTCTCGTTGTCTATAGTAAAAATATGTTTATTATGTTGGTACTATTGTCAAAATTACAGATTTACCGTAATTTTGTGTTTGTTTTGAGATCTATGTGTGTGTTCATCGGAAAAAATTATATTCGCTATTATTTACTCGGTATACAAAATATAGTATGGGCTCAACACTTAGAAAAAAAGGTAAATGTAGCTTTACAACAATCTTTAATTCAGAACCGACTTGGTCAACCCCGACACGCCGTGGTCTTGGTCTACCCTACCTCTAGAGTGTTTTTTTGAGCCTGGAGGCGCGGAGGGAGAGCAGCCCCCGCCTGCTGTGACATAGCCGCAAGCATCATGCGACTTGTAGCGCCTGATGCTGGTCGTCGGCGGAGGTGGCGACCAACAATCCGAAGGTGTGAAGGAGAGTGATGCTTGTGACTTTGTCACGTAAAGGCGGAGGGGCTGCTATATCCGCAGCGCCCAAGATAAGGCAGAAGTACTGATTGTTACTTCCCTAGTCCTTGTATCCTAAAAATTCATGAATTTTTAGGTTAGGTTAATTTAGATTTATTTCTTGATGCTGTCATTAACACACCTTTGGATGAAAATACAAAAGAAATAATTATTTATATAGCGGGTTTTGTCGCACGCAAGGTCATTAAATAAATTCATTGTTTCCTTTATCAAATGTTAATGATTGGAGAAAAAGATTGTTTATTTTTATCTATGATAAAGATAAAAGACCGAGGTGGATTAACATATCCCTCACCAGCTCTTATTAAACTTATAGAAAAATGTGAAAAGTGTTTTAAAATATACAAACGTAATGATGTTAATGGTTTGATTAAATTTATATGTGATTATGTTGATTATTCAATATTTGAATCGAACAATCCAGATCATGACATAAACCATGTCCACTTGCTTATTAAAATTGTTGTCAAATTTAACAAACAAAAAGAAACAAATGTATCTCAGATAAGTTTTCTTAAAAAAGTTGTATTATTTCAAAATAAATAAATAAAAACAATGCCTTAAATTTTTATTTCAATTTTCCTAATTGTACCTATATCCTTTCCCATTACACACAATTTCATCATTATCGGTTCAGTGATTTCAGCTGGCTAAATTCGCCATGAAGATATAAAACAGACAGAATTTTACATTTATAATACCTATTATTAGCATAGACATTACATTAGGACCTATCTATTCGGACAGGTTTTTCATGAAACAATCATGAAATCCATTATTCTACTATCCTAAATGCGGCCCATGCTTTGGTGAGTTTCAATGTGTGTGTATTTGCCACGCCTGTATAAAACTGAATATTCCGTCTGCTATTAGTTATATGCAAGTTATATGTCTGTGACTTGCCTAGGTATTGTATAGAATACCTGCATTGTATAGGCACAATACATACAAGAGCAGTAGCGTAACTCAGCCGTTTTCTTGAAATAGATGCCTAAGACTGAGCGGAGCGCTAGGGTTGGTACCTACAAGATGTAAAACATATTTGTGTAGAATTTTATTGTATGTGTATAGTTACTATTGCCACGTTACGGAATCGAAACGGAGGCAGACGGCGCGGGCGGTGCGGTGCAGCTAATTTAACTCGGCTAACGACCAGTCTCGGTACGTGACGTTTGTCTGTGTACGTGCGTCGTTTCGGGCGCTAGTATGAAGTCGGAGTACTGCTCTTTTATGTATTGTGGTACAGGTGACATATATAATACTAGCATCCTCTAGCACACTTTAGTTTTTTTTAAAATCCCACAATAATCTATAATATTGCTGGATAATGTAAGTCATTAAACAAATAATGTCCTGCGTTGTTGTAGGTTGCCGATCACATACACCATGAAAAGAAAATGACGCTGATAGCATCAACCTCCATAGGTGAGTAGGAAACCATGTTATTTGATAATTTTTGACTCATTTCTTTGTCGCACTATCCGTAAAATGGAATACTCTGCTTGCTCACGTGTTCCCTCCTTCTTACAACTTGGAATCCTTTAAAAGAAGCGTGAAGAAGCAACATGCTGGCCGTCAGAGTGAGGAGTGCTGTCGATAGCTGGCGAAGTCATTTGTCGGACCTATCTAAAAAATATAAACATATATAGGTCATCACTATCAGCCCATTAATGTCCCCACTGCTGGGATACTCTCTATCATTTATACGGAGACTGGGCCGTGACGTGGCCCACCACGCGGGCCCAGTGCTGATTGGTAGGTGCTAGCGCCTGCAGGTGCAGCCGGGACCAACGGCTTAACGTGCCTACCGGCATAAGGAGGGGTGAGAGATAATAAGTTTTGGTCACCCACACCCAACCCACCACTGCGAAAGTTGCTTAAGGCTCTTTGCCTAGAAAATAAGACTTGAAAAAATCGATCAAACCAAGCAGAAGAAGTCGCTGGGCTATTGTACCCATGGTTGTACCGAAGGTACCATAGTGACCTGCAACATTAATGATGCAGATGAAACTGATTGGCCTCGTTTGCACTATTAACACAGTATACCCAGAACAGTAATACGTCTTCATACAAACTGGCCGCTGCCCATTAGAATGTGTGCTTACGTACTCGACGCGGCGCCGCGGCGCCGGCGTCCCGTCCGCTGCCTGGTCCGCGTGGATTTTTTTTTCTAGTAAACTTTTCTTTAGATTTATTCATCTACATTGGTTCAGCGTTAATCGTGAAGAGGCAAAAGACACACTTTCGCATTTATTATGATAGTATGTATGGATGGATTAATTAAAGAACCCAAGGTAACGTTTTAATAAATAAAAACCTATTAATTTACAAAAATTAAGAGTGACGGTGTCGTGTGAGGCGGGTCGGTGCGTTCCCTACAATATGGTTGAGCGAAACGATGGTTCATGCGTCATGCTCGTGAACGGGTGCTGCCAGCGGAGATGAGTCTGCTCTATACTACTTTATTATTATAATGATAATTAATTATTTAATTTAAATTTTATTTGTAATTGTATTTATACTGTGTGGCACGTAATCAAAATTAAAATTTAGGTGAAAATTTATTATTTCTGAGATAAATGGTGTGGATTCTGGCATGGTTCTCTAGACCTGAACTTTGGTTTTACAGCGGTGTATCCTTGTCATTCTCTATACAGAGTGAAGGGGGGGCACTGATGTTGTGTTTGGTTGTGTGTTTGGAGAGTAGTGGCAGAGTCGACACTAGTGTTTAGGTAATCACATGCATGTGTCCTACAGTTGTGTTTATAGTTTTTTATAGTAATGTACACTGGTACTTAATTTTTTTTCCCCTATTTTGCTATCTAGTATCCATATGTGGTTATGAGTAGTCATGCTCTCTTAAAAATCTCTTCGGCAGTGTCGTGTGAAGCGGGTCGTTACGTTCCCTAAAAAATGGTTGAGCGAAGCGATGGCTGGTTCATTCGTCATGCTCGTGAACGGGTGCTGCCAGCGGAGATGAGTCTGCTCTTGCTACATTGGGTACTATTAATCGTTGTATTTAACTTTAATGGTACATTTGTTTTTATGCCTAAACAGTAGGACACGGCATTCCTAAACTTTTTTTATTTTTAAATCTGTTTTTTATATTTTTTATTTTATAGTCATAATTGTTTTATCATTTACAATGGAAGCAATGGAAAGTGACTTCATGAGTTATCTCATATTGAAGTCATTTTTCAAATTGACGACTCTAACTTAAAATACAGGGAGAGAAAAAACAGCCCTTGCTGAGTTTCTTGCCGGTTCTTCTCAGTACAAAGTCTCCCGCCGTAGATTTGCGAACCGATGGCGTAGCTTTTCGACATTCACAAGTGCTTGTAACAGCCTAGACTGAATAAATGATATTGAATTTTTCTTTTTAATTTTGACAACCATAACTATTTATCTCGACAAAATGGCCTAGTTGCGGTACTGCTTTAGCTTATATATATTCTGTGGTGTTGGCATGCACTGTGACGCACACATTGACATAAAATACGGGTGCATATGGCATAAGCGAAGCGGGCGGCAGTCTGGGCTGTGCGTTCGGTGTTATCGCGCGTGTACAAGGTGATTGCACGTTCGCTCGCTGCTCGTTCCACGTCTGTTAAGCTAGCATGGCAAAGTGAGCAGAATCGTTTAAAATAAAGTGCATCAATTAGTGCTTATTTAGTGCTAATTTAATGCCAAAACCGGAAATTTAATGCTCCCATAGTTTAGCGAAAAATTAGAACACTGCCAGCTTGTAATTAAGCTAGCAGTGTATTCCCTGAAACGCCTATATTAACGCGGTATAGAACTAAAGCAATGCCTAGGGAATTTAGTGCTTAATGAGTGCTGGCAGTATCTGATGAAAATTTTGGAAAATAAAAAATATTTTATTTCTTATCAATAAAAACTGCTAGTATGACAGTCTGAGCAAGTGACCGGTTCGAATACATCACTCTGGATCGAAGATCTATGATAATCAACGGTTAATAATTTAGTGCTCAATGAGTGCTGCCAGTATGTGATAAAAAAATAAGAAATTTTATTTTTTTTAAATTTTTATTAATAAAAACTATTAGTTTGACAGTCTGAGCAAGTGACAGGGTTGAATACATCACTCTGGATCGAAGATCTATGATAATCAACGGTTAATAATTTAGTGCTCAATGAGTGCTGCCAGTATGTGATAAAAAATTAGGAAATTTTATTTTTTTTAATTTTTTATCAATATAAACTGCTAGTATGACAGTCTGAGCAAGTGACTGGGTTGAATACATCACTCTGGATCGAAGATCTATGATAATCAACGGTTAATAATTTAGTGCTCAATGAGTGCTGCCAGTATGTGATAAAAAATTAGGAAATTTTATTTTTTAAAATTTTTATCAATATAAACTGCTAGTATGACAGTCTGAGCAAGTGACCGGGTTGAATACATCACTCTGGATCAAAGATTTATGATAGTCAACGGTTAATAATTTAGTGCTCAATGAGTGCTGCCAGTATGTGATAAAAAATAACGAAATTTTAATTTTTTAAAATTTTTATCAATATAAACTGCTTGTGTGACAGTCTGAGCAAGTGACAGGGTTGAATACATCGCTCTGGATCGAAGATTTATGAAAGTCAACAGTTAATAATTTAGTGCTCATTGAGTGCTGCCAGTATGTGATAAAACATTTGGATTTTTTAATTTTTTTATCAAAATAAACTGCTAGTATGACAGTCTGAGCAAGTAACCGGGTTGAATACATCACTATGGATCGAATATGTATGATAATCAACGGTTAATAATTTAATGCTCAATGAGTGCTGGCAGTATGTGATAAAAAAAATTAGAAAAAAACAAATATTTTATTTTTTAGCAAATGAAACTGCTAGTATGGCAGTCTGAGCAAGTCACCGGGTTGAATACATCAGTCTGGATTGAAGATCTATGATAATCAACGGTTAATGATTTAGTGCTCAATAAGTGCTAACAGTATGTGATAAAAAAATACGAAATTTTAATTTTTTTAAATTTTTATCAATATAAACTGCTAGTATGACAGTCTGAGCAAGTGACCGGGTTGAATACATCACTCTGGATCGAAGATTTATGATAGTCAACGGTTAATAATTTAGTGCTCAATGAGTGCTGCCAGTATGTGATATAACATTTGGATTTTTTTATTTTTTATTAATAAAAACTGCTAGTTTGACAGTCTGAGCAAGTGATCGGGTTGAATACATCACTCTTGATCGAAGATTTATGATAGTCAAGGGTTAATAATTTAGTTCTCAATGAGTGGTGCCAGTATGTGATAAAAAATTAGGAAATTTAATTTTTTTAAATTTTTTATCAATATAAACTGCTAGTATGACAGTCTGAGCAAGTGACAGGGTTGAATACATCACTATACAGAGCACTCATTGAGCACTAAATTATTAACCGTTGATTATCATAGATCTTTGATCCAGAGTGATGTATTCAACCCGGCCACTTGCTCAGACTGTCATACTAGCAGTTTATATTGATAAAAATTAAAAAAAAAAAACGTAATTTTTTATCACATACTGGCAGCACTCATTGAGCACTAAATTATTAACCGTTGACTATCATAAATCTTCGATCCAGAGTGATGTATTCAACCCGGTCACTTGCTCAGACTATCATACTAGCAGTTTATATTGATAAAAAATTAAAAAAAATAAAATTTCCTAATTTTTTATCACATACTGGCAGCACTCATTGAGCACTAAATTATTAACCGTTGATTATCATAGATCTTCGATCCAGAGTGATGTATTCAACCCTGTCACTTGCTCAGACGGTCAAACTAGCAGTTTTTATTAATAAAAAATAAAAAAATCCGAATGTTTTATCACATACTGGCAGCACTCATTGAGCACTAAATTATTAACCGTTGATTATCATAGATCTTCGATCCAGAGTGATGTATTTAACCCAGACACTTGCTCAGACTGTCATACTAGCAGTTTATATTAATAAAGAATTAAAAAAAATCCTAATTTTTTATCACATACTGGCAGCACTCATTGAGCACTAAATTATTAACCGTTGATTATCATAGATCTTCGATCCAGAGTGATGTATTCAACCCTGTCACTTGCTCAGACGGTCAAACTAGCAGTTTTTATTAATAAAAAATAAAAAATTCCGAATGTTTTATCACATACTGGCAGCACTCATTGAGCACTAAATTATTAACCGTTGACTATCATAAATCTTCGATCCAGAGTGATGTATTCAACCCTGTCACTTGCTCAGACTGTCAAACTAGCAGTTTTTATTAATAAAAAATAAAAAAATCCAAATGTTTTAACACATACTAGCAGCACTCATTGAGCACTAAATTATTAACCGTTGATTATCATAGATCTTCGATCCAGAGCGATGTATTCAACCCGGTGACTTGCTCAGACTATCATACTAG